GACGCAGATATTTCTACAGGCTTTAGTCAGGACGTCTTGAACCAGTTGAAAAATTTGGGTCAATCGATCGAAAGTGCTAATAAAGAGCGCCTCAACAGACAACTTGGCCTGATGGACATGAGCACATATTATACTTTTTCTGATGTGGTCATAGATCCAGTGTATCCCAGCCTTGAAGAGTATAAAAAAGACTATGACTATGACCTTCTGGGGAATCGGCTGAAGACTATTGATAGATATTTACTTGACCCAACTGCGACAATTCGGGAGGTGGAGGAGAAACATTTTTTCTCAATTCTACTCTACCTTATCATACTTACGGGTGTCGGTTTTGCCTTTACTCCCGTAATTAGGATGATTAAGCATATTTTTGGCTCACTGAAGGTCTTGTTGTCCTGTGCTATTGGCATGAAAAAGGCTTGCAGCAGACGTAATAAGCGACTTGCTGACGGTCTACCAAACGATTCTGATGAGTTCGCAATGGAAGTGTATCGGATAATAACCAAATGGAATAATATTGCTGATTCCCCGATTCCAAAGGATAGGAAGACCTTTCAAGCCATCCGGTTCGTTTTGGAGTCTCTATGGCCGACTGGGTACGCTTTTGAAGAGCTGTCCAAATACATGGGTGAGATGAGTGAGGATAGTTCAATATGAAATCCATTATTAAAGCACTAAGCAAGGCTTGAATTAATGCTTTACCGCCACAAACAAATGATACTAGCTCAATAAAAGTATTTTGTTTGATGGACAAAATATTTTCTTCAAATGATTAGTAACAAGGTATTCTAACATACTTTAAATTGGAAAATCAATTTCTAGCCGATTAACCTCAAATATTTACGCGTATGATACAAATTTAGTAGGTTGTATATACCTGGTTTGACCTAGTGTTCGCAACTTGGCCATATTGGCAGGAGGACCTGAGGAACGCACCTTGTCCGGAGTCCATAGTATGCAGGATAATTTCCAGAGTCGGAGCGTGGACTTCATACCTTCGTTTAGTGAGTTGGTTATCTATTAAAAATAAACCTCTTAAGTGACTGGATTTACCGTGTCTTTTTATCAATTAGACCCACTTATATCATAATTCATTCATTTGAGAGGAAACATAAGCAAGCTCTCGGTTTTCTTCATTTCCTTCCAAAGGAAGCGGAACCTCGATCATGCAAAGAAGTCTTCGGCTTGCCGTTCTAACAACCTGACGAATTCATGCTGGCCTCTTTTCTTCCCAGTTGTGGCAGACAGCATCAGGGCCATAAAGTATTATTTCACATTGTCTGCTTTATCGCTCTGATGAGCTTCTTCGTAATCATATTTTCTGGCCTTACCACTAACTATCACAAGTGGACAAGTAAGTAATCAGCCCGGATACTTCGGAGTAAAGGACTGTGAGTTTAGGAATCCTCCTAAATGTGCACAATTTCAGCTCTAAGCCAATCTTCCTTCGGTTTTATGAAGCTAATTTATGAATCGATTTGAAAGGCACACCAAAGTCGAATACTAAAGTCGTGGGTTCTTGGCTCGGCTAAATCTTAAATGCAAATAAAAGTTGGGTTTCAAGGAATCTCTTGTTTCATAATTGTTGAGCTTACTTCCATTTCGAGTGAAAGTGTTTGGTGAAGAGATTTGAAGGTTGATTCCACCAGAAGACTACGGAGGATTTCTCTTGACCAGCTTTCGATTGGCTTTACTGGATTATTCATGCTGATGCTGTTTCCAAGGTAATCACATTCGATTCCGGTGAGATCATGCTAAGCTTTATTCCATCAAATAACGAACATCATCAGAGCAAGGTATCATCATCACAACCAAACTCAAGTTGAAGAGTCAAGAGGGCTCATTGACAAATCCCTAAAAAGCGGTATATATACTCTATATCTGGCCTCTAATCAGGTATGAAGTGATTTGGTTAGTTACGGTCATATGTCAACCTCGAAGTCTGTGTGTGTGTCGGTCTCTGTATGTGTATGCGCCTGTTTGTACGAAACCCGCAGTGATGGCTCAAGGTAATTAGGACAGCAAAAGTAACGTCTGCTTTCGGCCATCAACGTTTAATAACCCCAATCTCCCCCTTTCTACATACATTTTATAACCATCATACCGATTGCCCAAGGTCGGACACACGTCCGGTTTTGATGATTACCATGTTTTTTGTTTTGGGTCTTAATGCGAGAGAGAAAGACTAAGCTAAAAGTACAGCGAAATGACTATGCTTAGAACCAAGACAAGAAAAGGCTAGTTGCGTCGCATCCTTTTTGCATGCGGCTCAACTCCCTCTCTATCCTTCAGTCTATGAATTGAGCACAAGTAATTTCTGCTTATCTTCTTATTAGTATTCTTTACATTTAATGTATTTCCTACTCGGTTTATTTCGATGACTTCTCTAATTTTACGTTTAGCCGCAAACACACCATAATCAGCAAAACCAGAAGTTTGAGACCATTCAATCTCGTGTCCCGTTTCTGGCCTGTGCTCAGCCAGCTCCGATTTTTCAACCCAACAGCCTTTGCAGGCGCTTTTGTGCTCAGCCACCATTTGTCGAATGAAATGACAAGTCTCTCCAACATAAAAGCGACCACATGAACACATTATTTTGTAGCAAGCTGATCAGGTTGGGATGTTAGGGCACCTTAGGCTTACGGCCTTTGAAAAAATAGACAAGGAAGGAGTTCCTTTAAGAGAGATTGATTGTTTATGAATAGGTGCAAGGCCTAGCAATGGGATCTTGCTTGGCTCCCATTTTAGCTAATAATTGCTTATGAAGAATGGAGGAATACGTCATAGAAGAGGCAAGATTGCTGGGAGGGACTTTCATTTCGTAGGAAAGTGCATGAAGAAGAGATTTGTTGATAGATCTCACCAGATGAGGACGGATGAATCCCGTTGTACTGCAGCAGTTTGGCCTTTATACGATTTTCACATGATGAACGAAAGCTCAGCTCGTTTTCACCCGAAACGGGAGAGAAAGTCTCGTGAACTGCGTCAACAAGAACATCGGATAAAAGCCAAACGGCTGCAGTACAACGAAATTCATCCGTCCTCATCTGGTGAGATCGACCAACGAATCTGTTCTTCAAGCACTTTCATACGAAATGAAAGTCCCCCCAGCAATGTTATCTTAGAAGATTTATCGAAACCCAGTTTCTCTTCGATTCTAGAGGTAAGATTGACACCCAAACTGCTAGTTAGGTATATGGATGACGATTTTGCCATATGGCAGCATGTCAAGCATAGTTTAAATAATTTCTTATTTTTAATTAACCAGATTGACTGCAGTGTTAAGTTGACAATGGAGATGGAAAAGGACAATAATTTACCCTTTTTAGATGTCTTAATGTTCAGAACAGGTGAGAAGTCAAGCATGGATGTATATATAAGGCCAACGAATGCTAGCTTCACCCTTAATTTCTTCTCCAATCATAGTTATAAAACAAAGATTGGAGTTTTAACATCTAAGATTATTCGTAGCATAAGACTAGCCTATACAGACCATTGTGATCATGAACTGGATTGGCTAAAAATAATATTTATTGATAATAATTATCCACTAGGCTTGATTAAAAATAACATTTAATTTACAAAGAATAGATTTTTGAATGGGGAATACTTAAGGCGAGATAAGGAGACCTTTTCTCATGTTTTGTATTTACCTTCGTGCATTCTCTCTAAAGGCAGATGTGAACAAGTAAGGAAGTGGGGAATAAAAACGGTCTTCAGGGAAACTACGACACTTTCTTGATTTATACCCACTTTTATAGAGAAAATTGACCAGATCGGGTTGCTACAACATAATGTGTCCGTGTGGTCGCTTTTATGTTGGAGGGACTTGTCGTTCTATTCGACAAATGGTGGCTGAACACAAAAGCGCCTGCAAAGGCTATTGGGTTTTTGAATCGGAGCTGGCTGAGCACAGGCCAGAAACGAAACACGAGATTGAATGGTCTCAAACTTCTCGTTTTGCTGATTATGGCATGTCTGCGACTAAACTTAAAATGAGAGAAGCCATCAAAATAAACCGAATAGCAAATACGCTGAATGTAAGGAGTACTGTTAAGAAAATAAGTAAAAACTTATTGTACTTAATTAAACGACTCAAGAATAGAGGGAGTTGATCCGCATGAAAAAATGAGGCGACGTAACTAGACTTTTCTTGTACTGGTTCTAATCATAGTCACTGCTCTGTACTTTTAGCTCACTTTTTCTCTCTCGCATTAAGACCAAAAACAAAAATATGCGCAATCGGAGTAATGTTTATAACATGTATGTAGAAAGAGGCAGATAGTGATCATCAAACCTTGATTGCCGAGTGCAGACGTTACTTTTGCTGTCCTAATTACTTTGAGTCATCACTGCGGGTTTCGTGCATAAGCGAACACAAACAGAGTCAGACGCACTTTCACGATTCGAGGTTGACATATGACCGTAACTAACCAAATCACTTTATATCTGATCTAGGAGGCCAGATATAGACTATATATATCGCTTTTTAGGGATGTGTCAGTGAGTCTTCTTGACTCTTTAGCTTGAATTTGATTGTGAAGATTATTCCTTGCTCTGATGATGTTCGTCATATGACGGAAGAAAGCTTAGCAACTCTTCATCGGAATCGAAGGAGATTACCTCGGAAGCAGCGCCAGCATGAATGTTCCAGCCAATCGACAGCTGATCAAGAGGAATCCACCGTTGTCTTCTGGTGGAATCGACCTTCGAATCTCTTCACCAAACACTTTCACTCGAAATTGAAGTAATCTACATCTTAAATAACTAAGTTACCTTGAGAAATTTAAATACAAAACTGGAAAAATGTGATTTAGTATCTTTTTTATGGAGATGTTAAATGACAATTTTTGTTTAAATATTCACTTTCAAATGAAGATGGAAAAGGCCTTAATTTTAAAAACGGACTAATCTTTTATGGGGCCTTATCTCGCCATACATATTGCTGGCCTCTGTAGACTATATAATTAAAAAAAAATTTTATCCTCAGATGTTTAAGAGAAAGTTGAATAAAAACAGTCAGTTAGGTCAAGAG